ATTTGCGTCCAAAGTCTTCCAAGAACTGTGCAAAATGACTGGAGTTCAATCAGCCATGAGTACGGCATTCCATCCGCAAACCGACGGCGAGACAGAACGAGTGAACCAAGAGCTGGAGATCTACCTCCGCTGCTTCACTGCCAATGATCCGGATAAGTGGGCTGACCATCTTCACACTGCGCAATTTGCTCACAACTCCCACGAGCATTCCACGACGAAGGCATCCCCGTTCAAACTCATGATGGGATACGAACCTCGTGGAATACCCACCGCACACCCGGGATCAAACACGCCCCAAGCAGCTTATCGCCTCAAGGACTTGCAAAACATCCGTGAGGAAGCACATGCGGCAATGGAGATGGCCTAGAACATCCTGGCCAAGAGAGTAAAAAGGAAGGGGGGTTCCTTCCGTAAAGGTCAGCTGGTATGGCTAGACTCCCGGAACTTGAAGCTGCCGTACCCGTCCAGGAAACTAGCCCCGAGGCGAGAAGGGCCGTTCAAAGTCCTAGATAAGATTGGAACAGTCGCGTACAAGCTAGACTTGCCTAGCACCTGGCGAGTCCACCCCGTTTTCCACGAATGGCTTCTATCTCCCTACTCGGAGACGGAGATCCATGGTCCGAACTACATGAGGCCACCCCCTGACCTTATTGAAGGCAAAGATAACTACGAAGTCGAAGCCATCATCGGACACCGAGAGAACAAGAGGATGCGACGCCGCGAATATCGCGTCAGGTGGAAGGGTTACTCAACAGCCGATGACTCATGGGAGCCCGAAGCAAACCTGACTGGGACGGCTGACGAAGTGTTGGCAGAGTATAAGAACAGGAAGGACTTGAGCTGAATCGATAGCAGCTCAACCCAGTCACTACACCCCTACTTGTACCAACATGTCCTCCACCCTCCCGTTCCTCGACCAGTTCAACGCCCCCTCAACTGAGGGCGGAAAGAGGATTTTGATCTACACCCCTAAGCACACCCATGTTGGCAACAGCACTTTGCTGACGCTCCTTCTCAGTAATCCCACCGATGTTTTCAACAAGCTCAAAGCCCACAACCCCGAGGCAACCAATGCCACCGACCGCGCTGCACTAGAGGCGTATCTCTCCGCCCGCCGCGAATACGACGAGGCTGTCAAGGCAGCCGACGAGGCCATCGACCACCACAAGCGGCTCCTACGCCAACAGGACGACCGCGTCCTCACCGAGCTCATCCGGCTCGACAATCTGAAAGTTGCCCATCGCTTTCAACCGCTCTTACCACGCAGCATCCGGGCACGGCACAACAAATTCATCCCGTGCGCCATCCCCAACGCATACTTACCCCTACCCGCACCCCTACCGACGTCTGCCTTCAGGCGCCCCCCGATCCCATCCCCTTTCCTCCAAGCAACGCCGCGAAGCACTACCATCCCGGCCGACTGGCAACCCAACCCTGGTTGGACCCCAAAGGGAAGCTGCAGGCGATGCGGATCGTCTCGACACTGGGTACGGGACTGTCCAGACGTACGATGCGCAGGATGCGGAAAAGAAGCCCCTGGACACCTGGAGCGAGAGTGCGGAACCAGGCCAATGAAGCGACACGTATCCGCACCACCTGAAGAACCTG